TCCATTTTGAACTTCAAATGCCAAATTTGAAACAATTCCAGTGAATAATGTCGCTAAAATTATTAAAATACCGAATATCGGGAGGTACCGTTATATGAGGGCTATATGAAAACGTGGACCTACATCATAACTCCCACAAAATGTGAAATAAGAGTCCGATTGTCTTCAAATTTTACAATATCGACTCACTCCATCAAGTACCTCCCCCACAAAGGGACACAAATTTGAATAATTATAACTCTTATAAAATGTGAAATAAGAGTTCGAGTGTCTTCAAATTTTACACATCGCAATATTTTTTAATTCCGATGAACCTCTACGTTGGTTCAAAATCAATAACAAATTTCATTGACGGAACGTAGGATTTCATTTATGGTATGAAGCTTTTTCTTTCAGTGTACCTCCCATACATGGTGTCAAAATTTTGAACAATTCCATCTCTCATAAAATGAGACCACATTCCAATACTTCTATCAACTCAAGATAGGGTAAGTGTACCAGTAGTCGGCACTTTTAGGATTTTCGCGTTATTAATCGCTCACCATTCTGAGTGGAACATTTCAATTATTACAAAGTTAATTTATTCAGATTCGAAATATTGTATAGTTTTTGCAATAATAAATAAAGTTTTAATAACTTTTTATTAAATTTCATAAATTTGTAGTTTTATTAAAACAATGTTTTTTTGCCAGTAGTCGGTACCACTTGCCAATTGTCGGTATGGTATTTTCCAATAGTCGGCATACAAATTTTTTTGTAAGAACAATTAATAATAATAATAAATTAATTCATTAAAATATAATATTTTTGTTTAGTTAAACTGATTCGACGTCTTTATTGTACTTTTCTTAAGAATATGAATTGTTGAGGACCTTCACAGACAAAAATTTAATTTTTATTAGAATAATTCATCTTTTCTTAGCGAAATTGTGCACAAAGATAGCTGACAATATATTTGAAGTAAACAAAATACATTTAGTTATAATAGTTTCATTTATTTGGACTTAAAAATAAAAAGTGCCGACTACTGGGACATGCCGAACTTAGGCACCCTTACCCTATGTCGTGAAAATGGGGTACCTCCCCCATAAAGGTACCAACATTTGGAATAACAAAACGCTCAGCATTCGATTCTATTTCATTTTCACACATTCCAATATACTTACTAACGAAATATCTCGTGTGAAGATGGGATATATCGGCTTACCCCTTCTGACACCTCCATCACAGGGAGTAACAATTTTCGATATTTACAGTGTGAGATGAAAAAACGGCAACCAACTTCAGACTGCTGTCATTTCTAATTCACTCGTCCGACAGCTGTTAAAATAATTCCACTGACAGCTCGTTATATTGTTTACAAGTGTACAAAAGCATTTTGGTGAGAATTTTCCAGAAAAAAAGTTATTAGTGATGGAATTGAAGCGTGATAGTGTGATTTATTTATATTTGGCTGGAAAACCACAAGTGGCTATCCTTAGAGCACTTCAGTATTTAAATGTGAATAAATCTATTGTGTCTCGTACCATCGCTCGTTACCGTGATACTGGTAGCGTAGCCCGACGTCAAGGAAGTAGACGGAAAAAACAGAAACATCAGCAGAAATGGTTCGAAATATGGCCGAAAGTGGTGAACTGCCGAATTTGGTTTTCTCCAACAAGAAAACATTCGTTGTCCAACAAACAAAAAGATCGTGTTTACTTGCCAAAGAGGTCAGCTGAAAATGTGCACCTTCGGTTGGCCACCAGGACTCAAGAGCCGACCATGGTAATGATGTGGACCTCCATAACAGCCGATAGTCGCTCTCCGCATCAGAATAAATGCCGAAAATTATCGCGAAAATATTCTGAAGGTTGTATTGAAGCCTTCGGCACGCAAACATTTTGGCCGTTGACGTTTGAACATTCCAACAGGACTCAGCACCATTGCACTTAGTCCGCGCCACCCAAGAATGGTTGCAAAATGAAGTTCCTTACTTTATTTCCACCACACAATGACCACAAAATATACCAAGGTGTCGATCACCTCAAGCAAGCGCTTCGCCGGGAATGGGCCAAAATACCGCATAGCAACATTCGGGCAGCGTGTGACGGTTTCATTGGCCGTTTGAAGGCCGTAATTCGTGACCAATTCGAACAAATGCTATTTCCGACATTTTTTGCTTTCATGCAATAAAATTTAAAAAAAGTGTAAAAATTATGGCGTTTGACTTGTTGCATTTTTTTATCTCACCCTGTATATCTGTCATAACTTGCGAAACAAATCAGCGATGATTTTCTATAAATATCTCTCGACCAGATATCTCCTTTCTTTGACTTTGTTGCAGTTTTTTTAAATCACCCTGTATATCTGTCATAACTTGCGAAACAAATCACCGATGATTTTCTATAAATATCTCTCGCCGGAGATCTTCTTCCCACTCCTTCTAGTGTAGTTCTAAAGTTTGAACACTCATAACGCTTGGCTGAGCGTATACAGGGTTGCCCATATTCGACGGACCCATGACTCTTTGGGCCCATTCCAATCGACGAGGCTTGTCCACAGGCAACATTCTTTGCGTCAATTGAATTTTGTACGGGAACAAATGCAAATCAATGCGAATAATCCGTTGTATAGTGGACCGAGCCATGCCCAACTGCTGAGAACGGCGTTTTTGGGATGATCTTGGGAACCTCTCAACACTGGCTCGTACGGCAGCGATATTCTCGGCCGATCGCCTTGGTTGACTTTTATATGGCCTCTTCGGATTACAAAAAGAGCCTTACCAGTCGAAATTTTTTCGTATAATCGCTAAATGGTGTTCTTAGAAGGAGCACTTCTCACATTTTTTAATGTTTTAAAAGCACACAATTGATTTCTTCTGTTGAATGTAAATTTCAACTATTTCGCGTGGCGTGTATTGGTTAATGGTAAAAATCTGCTTGGACTGACGCTTCAAACGCGGTATGTCATTAAGCGATGTGACATCTCTGTCAAAAGTTATGGCGTTGCCAGATATGGGCAACCCTGTACATCCGTCGTCAAACACGACTGATAATTTTTAACTTGCTAATTCACAGTTCGTATTAACTGTATGTAGGAAACATATTTTCGGCGAACTGTCCATATACGTCCAAGTATTGGTATAGTCCCCATAAAACTGTTCCCCTAGATATTGAATTTTTTAATGATTTGTGTCACACATTTCGCCGAATTGTTTCAAATTAGGTATTTGGAGTTCTATTACCTCCTTTTTGTTGACAAAATTTTCTAATTTGCAATAGGATGTACAGGTCCACCTATTCGTATAGCATCCAGAAAACTGTACCACACGATGTTCCGAGTTATGTTTTTTTATACCCTACAACACTATGTGTTGGGGGTATTATAAGTTTGATTAGGCCAAAAATTATGTAACACCACGAAATATTGATTTCCCACATAGGAAAGTATATATGGATCTTCCTATCTCGCCGAGCTGAGTCGATCTAGCTATGTATGTCCGTCCGTCCCTCTGTCCATGTTAATTTGTAATCACTCTACAGGTCGCACTTATGGCCCGATCTTCACGAAATTTAAAATGTAGGTGGGGTTAAGGTCAGAATAGAACCCTATTTCTTTTGGAGAGGATTGCATAATATTTAGGGGTTGAAATGGACTAAAAACTGAAAAATTTGCTGATAAAATATACCATATATTTTTTGTTGAAAAAATTCAAAATTTTTCATTAAACCGCGAATATTTTAAATCCCGGCGAAATCACAAGGACATGACAAGGTTACTTCTGATCTTTACATTGATGTTAAGATCCAACAAATCGTCTATCAAAGAAGATTTGCTTGAAAAATCTCATATATTTCGAGAACGGCTGAACTGATTTCGACAGTTCTCATTAATTCAGAATGGCCTCTTGGCAGGAAAGAAAAAACGTCTAAAAAATTGCATAAAAATATCTCTCTAAAGACGAAAATATTGATTTTGTAAGTTTTTCTCATAATTTTTCAATTTTGTCATATTTTTGGCATATTTTCATTTTGAATTAAACTTTTGGTAATATTTCTACAGCTAACAAAACTAAGTAGTTAAGATATCAGGATATCATATACAGATCGCATTTATGGCCCGATCCTTACGAAATTTTGCATGGGGATAAGATGAGGGTCAGAATAGAAGCATACTCTTTTTGGAGATGATCGCCTTATATTTAGGGGTTGAAATGGACCGAAACTGCAAAATTGTCAGCAGGTCGTAATTATCGCCCGGTCCTCACGCACATTTGAATGGGGGTTACCGGACATTGCAAAAGCCAAGCAGTTTTGGATGGCCATCAAAAAATATTAAATGTGTGAAGGAGCTTGCCAACTTTTGTAGACAAAATACGAAAATGTCGATTCCAGTGGCTTTTTGGAGAATTCACAAATACAGGAAAGGCGCACTTCTGACTATTTCGTTAACGCTGATTTCGTTGAAGAATATAGTTAAATGTCTGTATCTCATATAGATGCGTTTCAGTCAAAAACCAATAATAAATGTTAAACTTTTGCCACTTCCGAGAGATCATAGGTCTTTGGGAGATATTGGTTCCAGATCTAGGAAGACCATTTACGTGCAACATCTACCAATAAATTGGAAATGAGCAAATTAGATTAAGTTGCTATTATTCGAAACCTGATGGTTTTCTTTTATTATTTGTCACAACATTTTGTGAAATTCTTTCGAGTATCTCGCCTATATAAACTGCATCGTTGATTATAGTGTTGTAGGGTATTCAACGGTCGACCCCGCTCGACTGTAGCCTTTGCTTACTTGTTTTGTTATGTTTTTTAAATTTAAATTTTTTTTTCAAATGAGGGAGGATATTTCAGCTGCTCCTTTTTTCATTTCTCTTTTTAAAGAGAAATGTCTTGTAGCAATAATTGGGAACGATAGCAATAAACGTCTATTTTCCCCTGTCCCCTATTCACCCAATTTTGTGGTTAATTAAACCGAAATATAACTAAAATGGAAAATATTTGTATTTTATCAATAAATTGAATTTATTTTCATTTGTTCGCTGACATCATTTTCAACATAAAAATTTGTATTTTCTTAGTTTCAAATTATAGTAACATTCAAAAAATTAAATATTACAATATTATTTTACTTACATCCTACAGTAATAAAAATTGGAGAAAATTAATTTATTACATCTAGAAAACTTCTTTGGAATGATTGTTGGTAAATGTTATTTCATTACTCCTGCACACTAATAATAATATCAAAAGTAACAAAAAAATAAAATAAACAATATAAACTAAATAAGTAAAATTGAATTCATTTGCTCATAACTAGCTAAAATTAAATTCTAAAGATTTTGTTCATTTAAGATTTAAAAGCTTTTACTTACACACGTATGATATAATCGAATATTTTATACAGCTCTAGTAGTAGTAATGAATTTTTGATTATTTGTTTTTAATTACATTAAAATTTTAATCTCAAAAATGTACAACATTTACGTAATCGTCCTTATAAAGTATTGGAATTTTTTATTTAGTTTACATTTATGTTAAAATAATTTAATAGTGGATTTTCATATAATGTACATTTATGCTATTTTATACATATTCTGAATTTGGTTTTAAATTTACATGGAAATTAAACATTTAGTATTTTTCAATTTCAGTTTTCTGCATTTAATAAAAAATCAATTTTTGGCAACAAGGGAGCTTTCTATTTTCAGTATTTTCATTTCACACAAAATAAATATAACATAATTTATGTATTGGAAATATGTTTAACAATGTTTATTTGTGAATAACAAATAAATAAAAAAAAATAATTCAGCAAATCTTTTGGTTTTTATTTTCTTAATTTTAGGCAATAAATAAATTAAAATTTTGTGATTTTTCTACAACTGTGGTATTTAATATTGCACATGTTCGTTGTTCTGGCCTGCTTACTGATAATTGAGTATGATGCACATGCGTCTGGGCATGATTGGTATGAATGGCATGGGCCATGTGGGTTCCGTGATACGACTGAGAGGGGTGGGACTTGTGATTCTGCTGTGAATGTGAGGTTTGTTGCATTTGCGACATCAGTTGACAATGTTGACTTTGTTGTTCGTGATGCTGTTGATGTTGTTGTTGTTGATGTTATACCAACAATGATACCTTTTGGCAATTCATAGCGGTTAGCTGGGCATTTAGGGCTGCATTCGCCGTTGGACCATGATGTTGCGTTTGCCCCACCGCCGATTGGGGTGATGACAAACTGCCAACATGACTCGACCCACTACTGCTGCCATTCGGTAATAAACCATTTTCATTTTGCCCATTTTGAGCGGCTGCTGCCGCCGCTGCTGCTGAGGCTGCTGCCAAAAAATCCACCTTGCCCATGTTACGCTCTAGCAGTGGACCTAAATTTGTGTGTTGTGTTTCTTTGTGACGTCGCAAATCTACTTTACGTTGAAATGATTTGTGGCAGAGTTTACACGAGAATGGTTTATAGCCGGTGTGTTTGCGTGAATGGGTGATGAGGTTGGAACTCTGACTGAATGCCTTGCCGCACACTTGGCACTTGTGGGGTTTTTCACCTGCAAGAATAAATAACCAACGGAAAAAATGTTAGCAATCAAATGTAGATGGTGAATATAATTTCATTTATTAATTAAATTGCTATACGAAATCTTGAAAATTTCAAATGGAAATTATTGTTAAAAGCAGAAGGGAGTAAGAGGAGATGGTAACGAAATAAATCTCAGGTTTGTATTTTTATTTTAAATACAAATCGCAATATAGGAAATAAAAATAATCAAAATGATTCCAACGAACCAAGAATAAGTAAAAATGGTGTTCTAAGATTTGGTTGACTTATATTTTCATTTATTCTATTAGAGTTTTTAATTTGAATTAACCTTTAAAACATTTAATGTATCGAAATTTCGGTTCAAAGTGATATAAGCCGAACAAAACTTTGGTATACCCTATAGACTATTTTCAAATAGACGAAAATTATGTAGCCTTTTTTGAAAATAATTGCCTTCAGCTAAATCCACTAATATTACGTTTTTTAATAGTTGTCTTGAAAACCAAAATACTAACACAATATGAGATTTTACGACATCAAGATTAACTACAAATGCGTTGCTTAGAAGATTTGAGATATGGCTCCCGAAGATAAGGTATTAATTGTACCATGTTTAAAAATAACAATTTAATAGATCTGTATAACGATCTAGTTCACAACACTTCCTCTTGAAGAGCAATTTGTACAGTCTTATAACCGAAATTCAAAAAGTGGCCAGTTTCATTTCGGTAAGTAACGTAGATATTTTCTAGCAAAGGTTGATATTGATGTCAGATGGAAACAGCTCCTTTGGACTTAAAAGCTCTTACCGAACTTGCGAGACATTTTTCATGTTGATCCTTCTTTATATTTATTATTCATCGATAAGTATTTTAACTTCATTTTACTTGTTTTCAAAAGCTTAAATTAGGGGGTAAACAACTTTGGATGCAACTAAATTTTTCAAGTTCGATGTTTCCACACTTTTAAAGACTGCGATTTCGGTGTAACACACGAATGATTTGCCAAAATATATGCTCTTGTCTACAGTTCTCTGCGTAAAGCATTTAGCTTCAATTTCCTTTTAGGTTATCTCAAATTAAAGTCACATGGTTTGGGTTCACCCACGTTACCAAACCACCCCCAATCTTACAAATATGTACATCGTAGTCTGCTCTTTAAACTGTGTATTTTTGTTCCTTTTCTTATGGTATAAAATTTATTTCCATTTAAGTTCATCAGACTTTTATTTTGTGGTTAGAAGAGGAATATTTGTGCGGTTTCTGTGGTTGATTTTTGTTGTCTTAAATTTTATGTATTTTTTTCTTCTTCTTTTTTGCCTTGAAATTTGTTGTCCAATATTTTACAGATTTGCAGCAGTACCAGACAGAAAACTGTGTACGTCATTCAATTTTGAATTTAAAGACTTGTTTTAACATCAAAGTTAAGAGCAGAATATGTAAATTGAAGCTACATGTTCTATAAGGAGCAATTGTTGGATTTTAGAGTGAATTTTTTATATAGTTTTTTTCATTAATTTATTCATCCTGGAGCCATAAGGAAGTACATTTTAAAAGATAACTATCCTACATTTGTCTCTTTTCTTTTCTAAACGGTTCAGAAAGATATTTTAACTTGACTATAGAAAGTCGATCAACCAGCCAGTTGTAATATAATTATAATTTAATCCATCGAACATTCCTTTATTCTGGCCGTTGAAGACCGACAAAATAGCTTTATTAGAGAAGGAAATAAAGTTTTAAATATTGATTCATTGTAGTTAAGTTCGAAGCTACTTAAAATTTCACTTCATCACGCTCAAATAGATTAACAATAAATCGCAACGCTTAAAGACAACACAAGAAATCCCATTCTCAAAGATAAAGAACCCCAAAAATATAAAAGAATAAAAGTAAAACATAATCGATAAAACAAACATTGCATTCCCCCCTGTTTCGATCCACTATCTACAGCAATCTTTGCCAAGCATAATAAAAAGAAAATATTATAAATGTTTCAAAGAAAGCAAATCTTAACATAAATAAACTTAAAAAAGAGTACAGCATGAAGTAAACATCAAGTCAAGGAAAACATTTCAAATATAAAAACATTGAAATATGCCAAAAATCATGGCGTCCGTATCAGGGCAACGCCTTGGGGAAAGTCGGAGTGATGCAAAAGTACTATCCAGGAGAATGAGAAACAAAAGGAAAACGAACAACTCTACCTTAGCCAAAAGGATGCTATAAATAAAAAAAGAAGTAAACTTTGCTTTAAGTTAAAAAACAGAAATGAAATGGAAAAATATTGTACATGTGTCGATTAGGGGGGTGCAGTGCTGGAGCAGTGTGCGGGTAGTTAGAATTTCTTCATATAATCTGTGCGATGCTACGTGACGTTATTTGGGCCGTTAGCATATGGACGTGCTTAGAAACCAGAGACTTAATGTCGTTGACTAACAAGACAAGACAACTGAACAGGAAAAGCAAGCAATCATTGCCGGGATAGGAATCCTTTCAGTCAGTCATACATGAAGTAGACCAGGGTTTCCATGATAGACAACAACTAGTGTGTATCCATACCACAGAAAAGAATGTTGTACAAGAGTGTAATGAAAGAAATATTTCCAGTCTTTGACTAATTCTATGAATATAGGACACAGGCAAACAAGTAATAAAACTGTGGTTAACTTCCCGGTAGAAACTTTTATACCGCGAAGCACTAGGACAAAGACAACTTGAGAAATCAAACACAAAAAAGCTTCTAAAGAACATTAATTTTTCATCACAGGGAACGCAGAAATATCTGTTAGAAGAAAACAGTGATGGATAACTCAACAATGACAGTAGAACCAAATAAGACTTTCCGGGCTTATTGCTAAAATATGTATATGTATACTAAACAATTCTAACACGAGGAAAGGGCAGTGATCACACTTAAAATTGTATTTGAGATCAATGGCAGTTCGATTGATATTAACTTTTAGTAACCTTCACCTTAGAGATGGGTCTAAGCCTTATTCACTCTCAGTAACTTTTTGGCCGAGTGAACGTTATTGGAAAAGTAATAATCACAGCCCATCTCTTAACAATACTCAAATAAATGTCGGAATGCGAAAAACTTTTAAATCGATACAGACATCTGTTGAATTGAAAATCGAGAAGGAAATGTTGGTTTAATATTGAAAGTCCTTCCTATCAAACGTCAGAATTACTATGCTATTTTAAATTTTCCTAAACATTTACGTTATACCCTAAGTTTTCACTACATTTTCTCTGTGTATAGTGCGTTTTATTACACTTTTCCCCTTTGAAGCTTTTAATGGTTTTTTTTTGCTTCTTTTATGTGGATGACTATCTACTCGCATTCGCTACAGACTCACAACATTGTGTAATTGCAAAGGAACAAGTAAAACGTCACGATTACCCTTTCTTACTCAGAGCCACCCAAATTAACACAAATCCTCCAACTCTCAGTTATGCGATGGAGCTAGCTCACTACACTACTGCAAGGATAATAAAAGCAACCGCCATCACTAAAGAACCAACTCTGTAGGGGGGAGGGAGGGATATTCTACGAATGAATCCATTTCACGTTTAGGTTGAGGGTAAAAATCTGTTGTTGAAGGAATCAAAGCACATCCCAATGGTCGAATGTTTTAACAATCACGTCCCTGCAATATCATTATGTACTCAATTCAACTTTGTTCCTCAGATGTGCTGCGTGCGTACGTACAGTGACATAAAGAGTATAGGAGAATACTCAGAGCGTAGAGTATAGTATAGAAGTGAATGTTTTGTTTTGAAAGGGTGTATGTATTTGTCTGTATGTGCATGGCGGTGGGGGTATGAGTTTGGAGAAAGTAGTTAAAATTCCAAACCAATGATTTCAGTTTCGAGTCGTTTTGTTGTCGCTGTTGTTTATTTTTATATTTCTTACAGATTTGTTCCTTTTTGACGTTATTTTACGATTGTTGTTATCTATATACTACTATGTGTATTATATAGTACAGATACACACGCATATATACATGCACATACTGTTGTGTTTTGTCTTTTTATATAAAACATTTCTTGAGATTTCCTTTTGCGGAACGAAGAACGTCCATACAGGGAAAGAGTAGTTGAAGAAAAAATGAAAACTGCGAGTAATACACACACAAACCGAAGTAGCCGAATACATAAAGAAAATCTGTATCATGGCTAAAAATCATTGAAATCTGTTTAGTTTAAAGCATGGATTCAAATTGTTCAGGGTGATCTGGTTTAGTTCTGCCACTGCGGAATGGCTATGTGTGAATGTCTCGGTATGGCATGTTGTCTGCTGCCCTATCTAGATATCTTTGGTTTGGAGCAAAGTGTTGTAGAGTTAGTAACGGCACCATGATATGTATGACTTGTATTAACAAACCCGGAAATATACTCAAGTTTTAGAGGAATGAGTAAAAATAAACGGAAATCCTTTAAATGTGTCTGTGTTTTGGAAAAAGTATCGATGTGTATTTAAAAGAAACTGGGATTTTTGGAAATCAATGTTTTATATTTTTAAAGACATAGAAAGTGCCAAAATGTTTGTGGGTTTTACTTAAAGTTTTGAAATAAAATATTTTGAAGAAATGTTGTTAGCGGCTATGCAAAGAGACATGTTCGTACTTTGTCGAAATGATTTTAATAAATTTATTGGAAAATCGAAAAGTAAAACTTCTTGTTCATTTTTCCAAACACAATATGCAACAAATTAACTTTAAGTCGATTCAGGTTTTGAATTAGGTCCGGTACCACAATTTTGAGACGAATATAATCTTAAAATTTAAAAAAGAAACTCCATTCAAAATTTTTCCCTTGAAAGTCTAGGTTTTTGTATTTCGATACTATTCAACATTTTTTTATGTATTCTGTATTTTTTTCCAATCCAAATGAATGTAATTTGTCAATTGGAGTTCTCAATGCTTAATATATTCATAAATTTTTGTCATTTTCTGACATAGCACCCTTAGGGTTTCTACCGATTTAAATTAATTGAAGACCATAGCCATCCTAGCCACCATTTTCTACAGAAAGGACTTTAATTTGGCAGTTTAGATTTTTTTTTTTTTTGTATTTTTTAACATGCCAGGTTTGGGACACAACGCATTTAACGGTGTCATCGAACGGTGTCATTGAAGCTTCTAGACACAACCTAACCACATCTACTAGAATATACAATTTTAGATATTTTGTAGCATTTTCGTGGATCAAACAAAAACTTCCGTCAAAACTTAACACAATGTTTACTTGTTTTTCTACCGTTTTGTGTTTTGCCCATTATTTTCATTTCCTTTTCCGTTATGGCGTTGAATCTTGTGTATGCTCTTGTACATATGTATGAGGCTGTGTGTGTGTGTAGCTTTCTCAATGAATGTAAACAAAACAGCCATAAACAAAATCGAAGACCGAAACGATAAAAATGTTTGGAAGAAATAAATGCGCTGATTTTGATTCCATTCTGTGATTCATTCTAACGCTTGTGAAGGAGAAGAAAATGAAAAAGTAAATATTCTTCAATTTTGATACAGGATGGGTACAATTAAACAGGGATTCTTAAGAATGGAATTAAACTAACTAAAATATTATAAAGAAAATAATACAAAAAAAGTTACAAGTAATTGCCCCTATTCAAGAATTTATATTTCATAACGATCATTTGAATATATTTTTAAAGTAGATAGGTACTAATTTCATTTTTGCAATGTTTCCTGTTTTATTTTTGCTGCTTTGTCTTGCTGACACCCAGATTTTATCTTTTTAATGGCATTTCTCTGATTGTGCTTTTTTACAATTTCCATGGCTATACGTTTGTTATATTGCTGTCTCGCTTCTTTATTGATTGCGCTGTTGGTTTTTTTTTTTTTGTTTTGCTCCATTATTTGATGCCATTTTGTAAATCTAAGGAATTACGAAAATTGTTTGTAACGATAAAGGGGGGAGGAGGCTGAGAGTGCGAGTACCCGGTAATGGGGTTGATTATATGAAAGGTAGTTTTATTACAGAGCTCCACCATGACATGAACCATTTCATTATTTGGTTAACTTGTTATATGTGTACTTTGCTTAGGGAAGGAGGTATGGTGGTGTGCTTGTGTAAGTGTATGTGTGTGTATAAAGCTTATAAAATCAAGTTGCCTTGACTAAATTTTTCATTGGTTGTCTGAGATTTTTTTGCGCGTCATACAGCAACTGCAGCTATGGCAAGTAAATAGCTGCTCTTCTTGATGGCCTCTTCAAAGCTTATTTCTTATGGTGTCTCACTCACAGAGAAAGAGAGTTTCGTATACCAAATCTTTTTGCATGAGACACCAACATCACCACTGTGTTTCAACGTTCCATTCTATTCCATATACGCCATTATTGCAGAAAATGAAATTGCGCACAACGCTCTCGCGCACTCTCTCTCGTTATAACTTTGATTTTTTTATTGATTTTCAGAGGTTTGAGCACAAAAGCTTTTTATTTACTCAATGGCCCGCACAATGGGAGACTGAGAGCAGATGAGATATAGCTATTTTATGGGTGCCACAGACGAATGTTTATCGTATGGATTTTTGTATTGGCTCTCACTCTCCCTTGGAGGAGTCTTTCAATGAATTTTACTGATTTCCTTTTTTTCTTATATTTCCAGATTTTCCAAATGCTATGTGTGTGTGTGTGTGGGGGGGGGGGGGGTATATCAATTTAGGGGTTTGGTGTCATACGCCTGAGTGGGGATAACGAATATTTGTGTTGTGATTTCTCTTGCATAGCTTGGTATTTTCCATTTATTTCACACTACCACCCTAGTTCTCAGTTTCCACATTGTGCCATTATCGCCGAAAAGGATTTTTGTGGAATTTATACTGGGAGACATTTGCACATGGAAAAAAGTGTGAGTGAGCAAATGGAGCAGACTACATTAGAACCCCCTCCCCCACATTCAGATGAATGGGTTTTGCTTTATCCTTGTGTAATATAATCCGTATAGGTATGTAAGAACTTGTGTCTGTGTATATTTCGCTTTCAGCATTAACGTCCAGTCGCGTTGTGCTGATTTTCCATTTATTAAATTTGTGCGGTTTTTTCACTATGATTCTAAAGTCTAGTTTGTATGTGTGAGGGCATGTATCTATATAAATTCATTCCGTTGAATGGCAGCAGATTTTGATTTAACATTTCAGGGATTTAATGTATTTTGAAATTGAATTTGGCTTAGATTTTATTCAACACATATACATGTTCAATATACAACGTACACACACAAAGTTCATATACATATATGAATGTACATGCAATTATGAATATTTCAATGTGAAATGTTATTGTTGTGAATTTTTAATGAAAATAACTCAACTACACAGGACTTTAATAAAATAAAATTTAAAGTGGTTTTGTGAATTTTGTGGAATTCTGTTTTCGAGATATTTGTTCAGAGCAAATGATTTGTGCATAAAATGTTTATGAAAAAAAGGTGTTAGAATAAACATTTCATTTCATTTTATATTCCTTTGTTGAAAGTGGGGACAAAAATGAATGCTTGGGTTCTTCTATATATGGAGCAATTTAACCAATGATCCAAAATATTTAAACTGATTGGGATTTTTGGTTCCCAGCTTTCCTAAATCTAGCTAGAAGACGCAGGGAAATTCAGACAACCGTTTTTTCCTTGGAACACTCATATGATGTGCATCATTTTTATACCCTCCACCAGAACATGGAGGCACATAACTCCATACACAATATATACAAGATCAACACACAATTCTAAGACAATTTAAAGATGTCTCTAAGTCTACCTGTTCACATGTTGACATTCATTTTTCAAGATTTTTAAAATTTGATTTGTGTCTAGGATTATTGGTATATAACATGGCTGCACACGCCGCTTTTAGGAATAACACCCATACCTCGGATTTGAGTTATTTTAAATGTTTTAGTTGTAATGTAATATATCAAGCTCTAGAAACAAATAAACCTCTTCCTAACAAAAACTGAACCGTCTAGGTTCAATATTTTCCATACTAGAAATCGGCTTACTGTTTGACTTAAAAACCCGATGAAAGGTTGCAATAGTAATCGTTCGTTTATATCCAAGTTTCGGTATGGTAATCACATAACGATATTTTTAAGGCATATTTTCTACCGAATGGGCTGATTTCGTAACCGTCAGACAATTATCTACATTCTGTCTGACCTATCTTTACGCCCTTTGTCCATCTTATTAATTATTTTACATATTTATTCCATTTACACTACACCTTTACCCTTTTGAGAATTCATTGTTTTTGCTTTTACTTCCAAAAAAATCTCTTGCTATTTAATTAAGATTTGTGCTTGTGGTAAAATGAATGCTTACCTGTATGAATGTATGTATGTTTCTTCATATCACTCTTCTGATGGAAACGTTTGCCGCAATAACTGCACGGGAATGGTCGGGTATCGCTGTGTATGAGCAGATGAGTGGACAGGGTGCTGGATCGTTTAAAACGTTTGCCACATTGTTTGCATTCAAAGACTTTTTCAACATTGTGAACAGCCCTAAACAAATGACAAACAGCAACAATAATGGGAAGAAAAGGAACACAACAACAACAATCGTAATTAGTTGGAAGCTCGAAAACAAAAAGAGGATTTTAGTAAACCAAATAGGTTTACCATCATTGCAATTACAACATTTATTCTTTTGTATTATCTAGCTACTAACCTGTGTTGACTTAAACTAACTTCATGGCCAAAGGTCTTATTGCACAGCTCACAAGCATAGGGCTTCTTTCCGTGATGGGTCCTTCGAGAGTGTACTTCAAGACCATGGGGTGTGGAGAACATTTTTTCACATTTCATGCATGAGTACAGGTCACTGAATTGCGGTAAACCAGGCCATTTTGCAGCCATATGGTGGAAGTGATGCAAATGCGAGGGGTGGGCGGCCAGGCCCAAATGCGAATTTGGTGGCAGACCATTGGCCCCAGGAACGCCAACACCAGCCGCCGCCGCCGCTGCTGCGTGGTTTGCACCATTTTGTGCTGTCTGTAGAGGCACCATTAAATTACGCAACCTAAACAGGTCTTCTTGGGAGGCGGGGTGATAACTAAGGGAGTACAAAGAGAAATACAAACGAAACAGAGAAAAGGGTTTACATTGAGTTTCTTTTCAAATTAAAATATTCAAGCTTAATTATAATACCAAACACTTAAATAATTGTCACCAGCACTTACCTCGAACTTAAACCAGATTGCTGTTGCTGCCCTTGGTGAAAGGCAAAGGCTGCAAAAAATGGAAACGCAGGCGATAGAAAGGGTCTTTGAAACATGGTTTGTTCATAGTTGGCGGGATAAGCTTGTCGGAAAGCCTCAAACGGATCACAGCCAGTCGGATGGGGATGTAGCGGTGAGGATTTCTGGTGATTATCATCTTTGCGTAACAAGGCGGATACCGAAAACATTTCTGACTTTTTGGGACTAGTGTGACTACTGCTTATTTTTTCATTGGTATTTTGGGCACTTGAAGGTCTCGAGGCTGGATGTCGTGGCGGCACTGGTGACGGTGGTGGAGAATCAACTTCTAATTCCACAGAACTGGATCTTGACCGCGACCTGGAGTGTAATGAGCGCCTACAATTGCTATCATCATCCAAATCAATTTGTGATGACGAGGAACGTGAAAGGCTACGCGACCTGGAGCGTGAGGCCCGGTCATAGAGGCGTTCAGCTTCCATATTAGCCAGGGGGTAATGCAGAGGCATTCCATTGCTGTTGGCATTATCGAGTTTCCATTGCAATATGTGATTTTTGCTCAACATTGTAAGGCTGTTGTTGTTGGTTTCTTCTTTGATCAGTTTGTTTGAGTTGGCTGCTACGGCGGCCGCTGCAGCAGCCGCTGCTGCCATTGCCGCACTGTGCACCTGTAATTGTTCAGTCTTTACTAAACGGTTGATGCTGAAAGCAAGTTCATCTGGAAAACACAAAATTACGAACGAATTACTTTCAAATGTATTATACAGTTAGAACTTGGATAAAAAATGTCCTAATTTTTTAATTGTCCGTTTCAAAATTAAAACGCAACAACAATGTGGAGAGTACCATAACTTAACCCTTTCCCAAAACATTCATCACGTTTTTGCTTTTATTTTCGGCATCACAGAAGGTGTAGGCGTGAATGAATACCCGTTTTGTATGTTTTTGAATTTTGTCATGCTCCATTTAACCGGGTGTGGACAAGAACAGATGTTTTATTCTATTGTAACGCACATTAAAATGATTAACCCGCACAAACACACACACAAACACACCAAGGGCTTGAGCAAATCAGCTACCACATTTAGCAAGGAAGAGCCGTGTGATGGCAAACATTTGTATATTTTGACTGCAGTAAAATAATCATTGTAGCATCATTGCAACCCCAACCTTTAGTGGAAAAGCAACAACAACAACCACAGCAGCGAAGTGATACAGCTTTAATAATGTTTGAAGCTCAAATTTGCTGATTTGTTGAAGGCTATGCCTTTGACTCCATGTCATCTAGACTGCCAGGCCGTAACTGATTTTGTTGTCGTTTTGATTAGGGTGGCAGTGGCAATGACGATGATGATGTCGCTACTGTTGACTGGGTCTTATCCTCGACATTAATGGTCATGTAAGGTGGATTAGTTGTTCCTGCTCTTCATCTGATATGGATTCAATGTAAAAATAATTATGTTTTGAAATTCGATATGGTATATCAGAAGCCCTCCGTCCGTCCGACCGTGTATTCATTCAGTTTATAATGAATTTCAATTTTTTTTTTGGATTTCAATATACTATGTGTGATGTACTTGGCAACCCATATGTGAAATTGAACAACAAAACAGGTGGATTGTGGAAGTAAGGTTTAGGTGGTGGGTGATTGCCAAGGATGCGAAAAAAGGGGTGTTCAGGACATGATTAATGGTTTCATGGTCAATAATTTGCAATGAGATTTTAATTGTTATTTGAAAAATCGTATTTTTCTAGTTTTATTAAAAAATTAGAGAATATGTGAAAAGTTTTAGGAAATATGGAAGAGTATTAAAAATAAGAACATAAAGTTTATTTAAGCTCTACTCTCTAGGCCATTATATTAAGATTAAAATTGAGCTCTAAGACTTGGAACAGACATATATACTAACCCTAGGAATTTTGGCATGTACGGTGCCAGCTGATATTCAGAATTTTGAATAAGCGTAATTAAATATTTGTGGTAAAAAGTATTAAATATTTTATTTTCGAAAAATTTTAATATTTTATAACTATTTTTAAAAATTAATAAAAATAAATGTCAAGCGTCCTCAATACCATAACTTCTAATTTCAATTTTTTTTTTATCGAAGTTTGTTCACTCTATAATTTTAATTTATTTTTTATATTGAATTTACGATACACATTCCAATATTTTACATTACGGAGTACGAGTCACATTGAGTGGAAGGTTTCATCATGGTGGTCCTGGCTTTCTACTTGCAAAGATTTAGTCTAATCAAAACCGACTTGAAATAGTTGTCAAATAGCACAAATTTCCAAAATGTTAGTGGACAATTGATTTTTTGATTTCTCAGGAATGATTTTTTAATAATATTAAATTTTTTTGATTCAGTTTAATGATTTCCAGTTTAGCTTTGTGGTAATTTGTACTAATTCAAATGTCCTACTTGATCGAACTTTTAGGCACATATTATTCTGAAGGATTTTCATATGTTAAAATATTTATAATATTTTTAAGAAAATTAAAAAGTATATTCCCTTTGTGAGTTGTGAACAAAGCAAAGACACGAAAAAAATGTTCCGTCCTTTTCTTGGCTTGCAAATAAACATATCTAGGCATAACCGCTCCTACAATACTTGTAAAAGTACTTCCTACAGAAAATTTTAAAGGGTTGCCGACTAAACACACATATTTACAAAACAATATTTGTAGTTAAGTTTTAATATCTGTTTACAAGAATCATTAGCTATGGCAATTCTCCATAGACCGAACCTATCCTCCCATTGAAACAAAGAATAATATAGAAAAAAAATCCAATCGATTCCAAATCAATAAATTAAATAAAAATAAACACAGATATAAGTCAGAGTACATAAATAAACATCTGAGTAAGATTGACGCTATATGTACGTTTTGTCATACCAGCAGGGCAATCGACAAGCAATACCTTTTCACAGCCTTATCACCACCATAAATCAGAGGGCTATCTAAACTTTAGACTCGATTTGAATTCACATGTTTGGATACTGTAAGGCCATTGCATGGCAAATAAGGGGAATAGATAGTAAATGCACGGAAATTCGGATAGCTAGCTTCAATACTTAATGCATTAAAAAAATATATATTTTAGATATGTAGTTAAGTCTCAAAAAAGAAAAGAAAAATGCAGATGTTACTTTAAAATTATTTTTCAGTCACTTAGTACATTACTTATAAAATTTATGGCTTCCTTGTTAGTTCTTAGATAGTACATGGCACGCCACCCTTTCCTTCGTTTTGAAAGTGAAACTTGTACAATAACTTATTCAATATTTATATAAGAAAAAATCGATTTTATCATTTAATCGTCAAGAAAATAAATACAAGAATTTCTTTACTTTGAAAATGTGCAATTGCCGCCAGAATCGATATTGGCATTGGCAACATTTCGCTTTCTTTTGTGAAGTAAATTATGTTGGTGTACACATATGTATGTATTATATTATTGAATGTTTTGTACAACAATGTATGCAAGTGTGGGTATTGACCAACCACTGAGCCATAAAATAAATTCACGTTTTATGTATTTATATGATTTGATTGATTTTTATCGTTTCTTTTGGACACACAATAAAAGACAGTGTGGTACTTCTATATATAGAATAATCAGCTCAAAGTCCAAAAGTACATGGAAGGAAAACTTATTGAAACCCTATTCGGTTGCTAGTCACATTTTTTCATCTACTTATCTTGCAAAACTAAAAGTTCATTTATAAGTTTCGATTTTAGTTTGTATTGTATTGTATTGTATTGAATCATGTCAGTGGTGATGAATAACAAGAATTGTGATTTACAATCCACATAATTAAAGGAAAAAAAACGAAAACATTTCTTAATCTCAAGATTAGTTGATTTACTTAATCGGGGAAAAAATATTCTAACAAATTTGAAACAACATTCCAGTAACATTCTTAATCTTTAAAATCTGTTTTATTTGCAACTGATATTCCAGTTATTAAATCCAAAGCATTATCTACATAATACGTTTTTTAATCGTGGAATAGCACCACACCCCAATTCAAATAAAAAATCGTAGACTTAATCTCTTGTAAATAACATTGAAACAGATTATCGATTTAGATTAATTTCGATTTTGACTGCTTTTCTTTGGAACTATTTATCGTTTTATGACTGATTTCACGAAAATAAATATGAGACAAACAACAATGTTTCATGAAAAAATTAAAATGCTTCACTTTAGTATATCTTCCAATGTAAAATTGATTGACATTAAATCCATTACCAAGTAATGTGCAAATGCAAAGTTCTCTGCTACCAGAATGTTGAAAAGTAATATGTTACTCTTTAAAAAAGTACAATGATAAATAACTTATTTAAATAAATACCAAATAATGAATAACCAGGAGAGATCGTAGCACGGTTTCGAGATTGCAAAAAAAATATTTCGTAGTGAAATAAAGAAAAGAGCAAAAAAGGCAACATTTAGTAAAATTCTGTACAAACAGTTGATTGAAACAACCAGTAAATTCTCTTTACTTAAATATCAAAATTTTCGTTCTCATTTCACTCTCTTTCATGACATTAGTTGCAAAATATGGAGCATAAAACACATATACAAAGTATGTTATTTCTCATTTTCTCGTAAAATTCATTTGGTAGGCTCTTTTTGAAGATTTTTTGTGAAAAATAACATTTAGTAAATTCTAGCAGATTAGCTATGAGCATAAGCAACTAACCATAAAACAGTTGATAGCATCAAAAGAGTATTAAGCGACGTAATATTACTGGACATTTTCCAGTTTATCATTCCAATTGTATCACTTCGATGTTTACATGGAAATGGGGTACATGGAAAATGGTTCAAGACTAATTGGGGTCTCCAGACTGTACCTCCAGATGATGATTTGTGTCGCAATTTTTACCGAAATTGTTTAAATTTTGTATTTAAAGTTCGTAATTGGTATTACCTCCAATAATAGAAAATTTCCTGTATAGCCCCATACATCGGTACCTGTCAATAATCGGTATGTTCATAATTTTAAACTTGATGTTTGGAGTTGGTAATGGACACCTCCTTATCTGGCACATAATTGACTGTAAAGATCCATGTTTTCGTGTAGTCCTGCAAAAACCTACTATTTGAAATTTTTAAAATTAAAGCCGACTCTTTTTTTTAATTTTCAAGTTCCTCTTAAATTGTGGAGAGAATTAATAGCTTGGCCCGGACGAACTTAGCTATTTTTTACTTGTTATAATTTAATAGTTATTAGATGATATAATATAATATTAATCATCGTTCTCCACTAATAAATAAATGTTGTTTTTATAAAAACAACAATAAAGGGGTTAAGCCTGACAATTTTGCAACAACAAAATACTATGGTATCCCGAACAAACATTATTACTTAATAATTGCAATATTCAAATTATTGCTAGAGATTTTCAATCATGAAAAATACTTAAGCTGACGATACTGGATAGTTCTTAATGAAAAAAAATTCTCTGTAAGAATTTTAAACTCTCAGCAACCCAACTTCCAAATGGGTTTCTCAACTCGCTCTGAAAAAAATAATTTTAGTCCCAGCCTAATAACGAACAAAGAGACTTTACTGTATAAAAGATCAACCGTTCCTGTACACATAATTATAATTCATTGAGATGAACTCCCCCTTTTATACAATTAAGTAATAGCAGCTCCCTAAGGTCAGACTCATCGATATAAAGAGAAGTCTAAT